CCAAACAATCAGTAAAAGAAAAAACACAATTCAGTTTCTTAACATTGCCTATTTTGATTTCTAAGGTTTGCGAAGAAGTATTAGTCTGTCACTACAAATAAGAAAAACGTGCTCATTCCCTTCGTTCTAAAGTCTCTCCCCGTGCCAAGTACGCATTTTTTCCCAAGACTATTACTTTTAAAAAATTGTCAGTCTGAGCTGATACAATAATTTAGAAGAAGCCACTGAGATCACTGAGCTACTGATTTATTTGTATTATTATTCCTCGGCTGTTCACTGACACCTGGTGCACTTGGAGTCTCTGAGATCCCGGGAGTTATTTTAGTCAGGGTGTCCTTCCCCTCCCGCTGGTAGATTAATTGCATATTAAACATCGTGTTTTCAAAACAAAATGATACATCTGAACACATAAAGGAGCCACTGAAAGAATCACTGCGAGGGAGAAGTGGGGATGTTAAGAAAACAAGAGATTGCAAAAGAGACACAGAAAGAAGAAAATGTAGGAAATACGACGGGGACAGGATGTCAAGCAAATACGGGCAAAGGGCAAGGAAGGCTGAAAGCGGGGCAAGAGGGAGGCAGGGAAGGAGGGAGATTTTTGGTTTTCAATTCCCAGGCGAGGCAGCTGGCGTCTGCACCGGTACCGCCCCAGCCTTCCAAGTTGAAGCGAAATCCACCTCCTCCGGCCTGCGTCGCGTCCAACTTACTGCAAGTTTTCTGCTGACTCCTACAGGGTCCCTTCCGTCCCCCTCCCCACCTCAGAGAGCCTGACAGTCGCGCGGAGGAGGCTTTTCCAGGCGCAGCCTTTCTCATGATAATCAGCCCCCAGCATCACCTCCCGGCCGCCCGGCTGCTGCTCCAGAGCCGGTCCCGGACCCCGGGGACCGGAAACGGGCGGCAGGCGGGCGGGGTCAGCTGACCGGTGCGGGCGGGGGTCGCGGGCTCCAGGGCCACCCCTGCACGTGCTCCGCCGCCCGGCGACTGGGGACCGAAGCCCGGGCGGGGGAGGCAGGCAGAGCGCGCCGGGAACGGGGACAGCGAGCAGACCTGTTTGGCATCAATAAATTAAGATGCTCATTTGGGTCCTGAAGTTTGCTGGTTCCTGTCAGTGTAGACGTTGGCAAAAGCCCTGAAGCCGAGATGCATCCTTCACTTCGGAAAAAGGAAAGAAAAGAAAGCCCTCAGCTGGCTGCCCTGCTGGGGCCAGGTGACGTGTGAGATTCCACAGCCCGCGGGCCTCGCAGCAGGGATGGGAAGGACGCTCTGAGGTTCTCTGGTCCTGTTTTGGTTTTGTTTGCGAGGGCTTCTCAGAGAGATGCTCCCGATTTTTTTAAATAGTCTTTCCCCTCCTATCCTAAGCTCAACTCTGAATGGATTGGATTGCGAGTTTGCACGTGAGAAGACCGTTTGGCTTGACTTGGACCCCTGCCCTCCCCCACGCCCTGCACACACGCCCAGTGCTGGGGTCCTCCTCGCCACCCTTTGCTTGCGACTCCCAAAGAAGTTGCGCACCTCCCCCTGCGCAGCCACACAAGATGGAGATAATTCCTCGGGATGAAAGATCAATCCCGTTTCAAAACGAGAATGGATTTTTAAAAAAAATTTCTCCACATGGCACAAAATGAACAGAGTTTGCTTTTGTAAAAAATCATTAGCAGTGACCAAATTCGAATTATTTCTTCAGCCTGTGTGTCCAAGGGCAGAGGAAACGTACCTCCTCGGGCATCTGGGCCCATGAGGAGTGAGGTGCTGGGGGAGGGGGTGTGAAAGTTGAGGAAATTGACAGACTGAAAGGTGAATGGGGGGACAGACACCAGGTCCTGGCTGCAGGGAATTGGAAAACAAAAGTGCATCCTTTTCTCCCTGCTTGGGTGGAGGAGATACTGGAGACAGCAGTTTGTTCTGCCCAAGGAAATCCTAAAGAATTGTTTTTCCCCTTCAAAGTCGATTGCAATATTATTTCACATTTGTATGTATCTGTTGTTTTAATCCCCTTCGTCTGTGCTTATCTCGAAGTGGATTATTAATGGGGAAGACAGACAAGAAAGGAGCGATTCATTTGAAGGACTTGTTTGGCTGTGTGAGAAGCCGAAAGCTAGCAGTAGCCCCTCGTCCTCTCTTGACTTGTCCCCCCAATCCTGCGCTCCTGCATCCCGATGATTCCACGATCCCCATTGTCCCGGACCTGGTTCTCAGACTGAGGGCGTGCTTCAGACAAATTTGTATTCCGGTTTCCTCTTAGCCCACTGCCTGCTCAGCGTTTGTGGGAACCCTCAAAGCCACTCGCTTGGAGAGAGGCACGCCAGGCAGGGGCGTGGGCACCTTCACCCTACACTCAGTCTTCCTGGAGGCCTTTCCTTCCCCCACTAAAACGTCCACCTGGATGGGACGTTTGATTTTTTTTTTTTTTTTAATCTCAAAATGGTTAAAAAAAAAAAAAAAAAAAAGCCCACATCAAATATTCGCCTGTCAGAACTCCCAGTGCTAAATGTTGGGGGTGCCTTCTGCTTCTTGAACATTGTTGAAGCCTGGGTAATCAGATGATTAGGTGTTTTTAATGGCAATACTTCCTAGCATTTTCTTTACGTTTGATCCAAATAGCAGGATATTTAGCATACATAATAAAGCCTGGTATTCTGTTTGCTACTGAAGTGGATCCTCTGAAAGTGTGGTGACACCTGTGAATTTGCATCATAGTTGTGAACCCCTGTTGGCTACCTGGGCACCTGAAGAGGGGCCCTGCCTGAAAACCGGCAACAGGCTCCTTCCCAGGGCTGGGAGGGGTGCCTGGAAGGAAAACTTCTAGAAGAAGCTTGACTCATCTTTTTCATAAAAATGAGGGGAATGGAGTCCTGAAAAAGAATATGAACAATGATGAAAAATGGTGACATGTATCAGAGTAGGAATTTGATAAGTCATATATATATATGTATATATATATATGATTTAGCTAGATGAATATTTAATAGCAAAAGCAATGTAAAATATAATGTTAAAATGTGACTTATCCATATTGGAGATCTTTAGTTTTCTTTATCAATATTTTTAAGTTGACCATCTCTAGTATCTAGAGATCTCCAGTATCTAGAGATCTTCTATAGATACTTCATCTGTGATGAAAGTAAAGATTAATTTTCCACAAGTTCTCATTGTAATGAATACTCAAATTAGGAAAGAAGTGAGTCTGTAACCAACTGTGAAAATCTACTTCCTTGCATCTTAAGAGAGGAGCTAGCTGTAGTCATGTTTGGTGACTATTGCACCCCCCCCAAAAAAAATAAACATGCAGAATACAAAGGCCATGTACCTCTGGGACTGTGGATGTGGCAACCCAAGTGGTGGCTTTTCCCTGTTTTGAATGTCATTGCCAGCGACTCTTGCATTCAAAGTCTTGCTTTAGGCACATATTCAAAGCACAGTTCAAAGCAGTTTATCTTAATATAAGTAAAAGTCTAGAGTTGGATCAGGGTATTATTTGTTTCAGATCTCTTCACACTAAAAATAAGGGGCTGCAACATATTTAACAAGATAAAGCCAAAAAATTTGGTACGAGGCAGGATTTTGGTCTTTATACCTCCACCTCTACCTTTCCAAGAGAGCTCAAAGGCTGTGGATTGAAAGTTTATTCATGCTCTGAGGATCTCAAACACTTTCACTCTCTAGAAAAAAAAAAAAAAAGAAGAAGAAGAAGAAGAAGAAAAGAAAAGAAAAAAGGCCTCACAGCACTTTAAGAAATTGAGCCTGGACCATCAGAGGCTAAGAGATTTCTTCCTTTTCCGATAAATGCCTGTGCTCAGCATCCTCAAATTTGGCTGTCTTTATTTACTTCTATATTAGTTCCAATTATGTGCAGTGTAAACCAGCTTTTTGATTAACAAAACAGCAGAGCATTGGTTAAGAACACTTAAACTTCAAAAAAAATTCCCCTGGGAAGTGGGCTCTGAATTGGTTAATAATGTGCAGTACTTGCTAAATTGCTGACTTCCAGATGTGGAAAATATCTTTCTTGTTTAGGACCTATGTAACCTGATTGGATTACGACAGAAGCGTCACGTTGGAAGCTTTTGAGTGATTATTTAATTAACCATACAGTAGAAAGCTGTATTCTCCAGGAAATCCCTTCCATATTTGCATAACCAATCCCTTCAGAGCAAAGGTGGAGTCTTTTCTTTTTAATTTTACTTTAATTGCAATATCAAAAAAATATACTCCAAAACTTAGACCCCATGCCGTTTAATATCGCGCTCTCTGCCTTCCCTGCTAAGTTCTCTATGGCCTGCCTCCCTTCTGCTCCTGTCTCCCTGTACAGGCTCACTTTGTAGTGAGGTCTCCGTGAGATGTAGAGAGATCCAGAGATCCAGCCCAGAGCTCTAATTTACTTAGAGACCCTTTATTAAAATGCCAAAGTACTTTTTAATTTCAGGATTCAATCCAGAAATTTATCACACATGTACACACACACAGCCTAACATACACACCCTAAAATGCAGTTCACATGTAGCCTCCCCCCACCACCACCGCTCTAGCATCTTAAAAAAAAAAGAAAAAGAAAAGAAAAGAGGGGGGGAGAAAAAAAGGAAAAAAGCAAAGAATTGAGTCCCAGAAGCCCTGCTGAGATAGCCACACAACTTGATGTGCATCTCAAATCTGATCGTTAGATATATCTGTATAAGAAGAGGAGAGCTAGATTGAGGACCTGGGATCTTTGCCTTTAACTTTCGCCCCTTGGAGTTCTCCAGTTCTGTGAATGGTGTGCACCGTTTTCCGCCCTGTACTCTGAGGGTTTAGAGATGAGGATAATGATGCCAGGAGGCTTGGCGGGGGGGGAGGGAGAGGCGGAGGGAGGGAGGCGAGGGGGGGGAGAAGGGAGGGAGGGAGGGAGAGAGGCGAGAGGGAGGGAGAGAGGAAGGGAGGGAGGTGGAATTTCATTTCTTCCACTAAAGCGTTTGCGGAGACTTCAAGGTATAATCTATCCCAGATCCTTTCCCAGAGAGAAACTTGGCGATCACGTTTTCACATGATGCTCACGCTCAGGGCGCTTCAATTATCCCTCCCCACAAAGATAGGTGGCGCGTGTTTCAGGGTCTCTCCTACAGAAAAGAAAAAGAAAAAAATGTCATTAGAAGAGGCGTAACACGTCAGTCCGTCCCCAGGTTTGTTTCCTGGAGTGGCCGAAAGAGATCAGTTCTAACCTGCTCCGCAGGAATAACGGTCCTGCCTCCCGACACTCTTGGGGAGGTTTTGTACAGTTTGCTCCGGGAGCTGTTTCTTCGCTTCCACCTTTTTCTCCCCCACACTTCGCGGCTTCTTCATGCTTTTTCTTCTCACCATTTCTGGCCAAAACTACAAACAAGACTTCGCAGGTAGGTTTTTCCCCCTTTTTTTCTCTTTTTACCCTTTTTTGGTGTGCTCGTCCCCCGTCTTCCTTTTCTAATTTTCTCCTTTCGAGTGGGGATGTGAGCTTGAAGTGAGAAGGGGTGGCTGCGGGTGGGAATTTCAGGTGGGTTTAGCCCTTTATGGCATGCTTTTCCCAAGAGTGGCTTCTCGCTTTCTCTTGCTCTCTCTCGCGCTCTCCTCACCTTCCTCTCCTTTTCTTCCTGTCCCCAACTGTGTGCCCTGTACCTGTCCATTCAGGTAACCAAAGGTGCCTTTGCTACCCAATCTAGGAAAAGTTTTATTGAGAACTGTATGGCTGGAATAAAACCTTATCAAGGGGAGAGCTGCTGCTCTATTTTCGCATCTAGTTCTTATTCATTATATTCAGCCATTAAAACTTGGCAAATACCTGTTAATAATTATAAAACTTGATAGCTACAGACCCACCAAATTTGGGGACAAGTCTTTCTTTTAGATACAGTAGTCCATCCTCTCCCACCGGAGCAGGCTGTTTTCTAAGCAGAAAGTTGCCTGTTTTTGTCTGCTTAGCGAGTTTCATTTCTTTATTTCATTCTTTGTGTATATATGTGTGTGAAGTAACACCTCACTTCTGTGATTATAAATAAAGAAGTGAAAGTCCTCATGGAACTTGAGTCGTTTACCAAAGTGTGTCTTGGGGGGGGGGTCACTACAGCTGGGGAGAAAACTGCTGTCAGGATAGCAACGTTTTAAATTAGGATAACTTTTGAAATTATATTTTAAATGGCAAAGCAATGTGGACATGGATTTAATAGGAGACTCATGCACACACAGAACCCATCCCATACTATGGCACTGAAAAGTCAAGGGAGAGATAGAAGTTCCTATGAACGGTGGTGAACCCTGCTAACACAAATGTGTTTATTTCCCTCCTCCTTCTATATTTTACATGCTCCCCTATAATGATGAGGGCTAGATTACTTACTCCAGAGTTAGGAATAACAGCCAGAGATAAAGTTTACAGCATGAATGCCCTCTCTCCCTCTCGCATACACACACTCATAAAACTACCAACTTACTTTATTAAACATATATTTACATGCAATCGTGTGCAAGTCTCAGCTTGAATACAGACAGGCCAGCTGTTTCATCCCAGACATTTGTGTGACCATTTCCTTATTTCAAGATTTTCCCCTAAAAATCTAAAATCAGCAGAACAGGCAAAAAAAAAAAAAAAAAAGGTTTTTAAAAAATGTGTCAAACTTCAGTCTCCTGCTGTGTATACCTAGGTAAATTCAAGGTGCTTTCTAAAATATCCACTTCCCCTTCTCTCTGCCCCCCACCCCCACCCCCTTAACAAATGTGTGGAAACTGATACTCACTTTCCAGGTTTTCCGAAAAGCTTCTAGCACCGGAGACAATAGGTGCGGGGCGTGGGGACCAAGTGTGCTTGGCGGCAGGGAAAGGGTTAATGGCCCTTGTGTTACAGTTTGCATCTGTTACATCTTTTATAGCCCCCTGTTTAAACTAATCCTCGAGGCACAGCATCTTCCCAACCTCCACCGAGTTTAAGGATTCTCCTCTCCTGCCTGCCTCCGCAGTTCCCCTTCTCCAAGTTTTGACAGTTTCAGCTGAAAAAAAAAAAAAAAAAAAAAAAAAAAAAAAAAAAAATGCAGCGCCTCTCTCGATTTTTAGGTACAAAAGTTTCGAAGCCAGAAAGGATACGATCCTTTAGTAAAGCTTAAAAGTATTGCCGTAGTGGTTGGACTTTCTCTTTCCCTTCTTGAGGGAATTTTTTTTTTTTTTCCTGCTGGAACTATTTAAGGGAACTAGTGTGGGGGAGCGTGTGTGTGAGCGAGGTGGGGGGAAATACTTAAGTAAATATTGTCAATGTGACAGTGCTGGGGGGGGCAGTGTCCAAAGAGGTTTATAATTATATTTCTTATTGCTGCGTAAAATGGGAAATCTTGATTTGGGGGCGGAGGGTGGGGGAAGAAGAAACACTGCCTCGATGAACTCCAAAGGGGAGGGGAGGGGGCGCGAGGCGAGTGGGCTTCCTATAATTACTATTATCAATTTACCCGAGTGTGCTTCACCCAGAGGCTGTTTCGCCTTGTTTGTTTGTTTCTTTCCTCTTGGGAATGGGGGGGGGGGGTGAGAAAAGATGAGAGGGAGAGAAAGCCTCGCCTCGCCCCAAGTTCTCCAGCCCGGCTGAGGACTTTTCGGAGCAAAGGGTCTGCCTAGCCCGAGTGCAGCAGCCTTACTGTACGCCGTGTGCATTCCCTCATACGGTCAGGAGTTATGACTCATTTTGAAGATGTAATTCTTGTCTCTCTGATCGCCTCGCGAGCGCAACCCACCAAACAGTAACAAACACAAAGCGCCTGGGGCCCGGCGGTGGGGGCGGGGAGGGGGCCGCCGAAGTTTCGCTTTGGCGTTGGGGGCGCGGATGGGTGCTGGCCCGGGCCCTGGCCCGGCTCCCCGGGGCCGCCCGCGCGCGTCTCCATGGGCGCGGGCGATGCCCACATTGTCGTGTGTTTGGTCGCTAGATCGAGCCTGCGTGCCGCCGGAGCAGGGCGCCGAGTCCATGCGAACTGCCATCTGATCCGCGCTTATCAATGAGGCAGCCGATCATGGCGGAGGGCCCCCGGTGCAAGAGGCGCAAGCAAGCCAACCCGCGCAGGAAGAACGGTAAGCGCGGCCCGAGCAAACTTTTCCGGGCCCCTCGCGGCCCGCGCCCCGGGAGGAGGGCGGGGGCCAGGCC